TGGGGGGGGGGGGTCCCACCTGGCTCAGGACACCAGGCCTGCCTGCTGACTCCCTGCACCTGTCAGGCCAGCTGTCCATGCTGAATCCTGATACTCTCCCAGGAGCCAGGTTCCAAGGCTATCTTTAGTGCTGTACTCAGGCCCTGGCCAGCTCCAGGAACCCTCCCCAGGGGCTCTACTGGCCCTTCTGGCCTTCCTCCTTCTGGGGTCTGTGAGCACAGATGCCACATGCCTTCACCTCTGGGGGTGGCACTCCCCACTCCTGCAGCCCAGCCTGGGGTCCCTCCAGGCCCAGCCAGACCCCACCTAGCTAGGGGCAGTGGAGTCACTGCAGGTGGATCACGCCTCCCTAGGTTCCTAAGGGTGCCTGTTGTCCCACAGGTGTGCCCCTGCTACAGCTGCAGCAGAAACGAGGGTTCAGAGATGTGCCTGAGGAACACCCGCCCAGCTATTGGGGCTGCACACTCTCTCCAAGACTTCATCCCTGCACAACAAGGGCTGCAGCTGCTGCCTACTCGGGACCGGGACATTCAGCCTCTGACTTTGTGGTGACAGGCACCCGTCCACAGCGCTGTGGCATAGTGGGAAGAGGAGGCTGAGTGCTGGCCCCAGCTGGCCCTCCATCCCTTCCTGTGTGCCTGCAGTAGGGATGGGAGGGGTGGCCCCAGTGCCAGGGTTGGGGGCTGGGGACCTCCCTGCCATCAAGGCAGGGAAGTAAGGGCACACAGAATATACTTGGGGGATGCTTGGTGACTGACCTTTTACAGGGGCCTTGTGCAAATCTGGGAAAAGCACCCTTTTTTTTTGGCTCCTGCAGCCCCCCAGGTCCTCTGCCCACAGGCAGGTGGCAGGGGAGGTGCACAGGACCCAGGTCAGCAGGCTCCTGGGGAGGGAGCTGGCAGGAGGTGCCTGGGAGGTTGGGGACCCTGCTGGGCAGGGCAGGATGGGGGCCTCTGAGTCACTGCTGACGGCCAAAGCTCACTCACAGTTGTCCAGTCCCCTGGGGGGCCCTGAGCCTGTCCTTGTAGGGACTGACAGTCAGAGTGCAAGCTGTCCTGGGGGATGGGGCAGGAGCTTAAGACAGAGGACCTGGGTAGGGAGGGCACAGACCATCATACCAGGCAGACCCAGCATGGTGAGTGTGCACCTGGCAGGCAGCTGGGTGGGGACGTGTGTGAGTGTGCACGTGCGCTTTCACCAGTGTGACTGTGTGTGCACACAAGGTGAGTTGGTGCACCTGTGTGCTGGTGTATGTGTGTTGGTGGCTAGGGACAGAGAGAGATCCATGCACTGTGGCTGCCCCAGTGATAGTCTGGGGCTAGAAGACAGAGGGTCCTGGGCCTCACCATAACAGGATGCCCACAACAAGCCCACAGTCCATTTGCTCCTTGGACACTCAGCTGGCTCCTGGCTGGACTGCAGACCTAGCAGGGCAAAGTTGAAGGTGAACCCCAGGCACTGTGTGGTCAGGGCCTTCTCAGGGTCCCTGCACTCCAAGCACCCACCCTGCCCCAGCCTGGGGACCCAGGACATGGGCCACAACCCACCCACTCTCTGAATTAAGTCCCCCAAAACACCGGTTTGGGGGACTCTCAGGCTCAGTGTTCTCATCGCAGGCCAGCAGGAAGACCAAGAAGAAGGAAGGCGGTGCCCTCCGGGCCCAGAGGGCGTCCTCCAACGTCTTCTCCAACTTTGAGCAGACTCAGATCCAGGAGTTCAAGGAGGTGAGGCTTGGCTCTTATACCTAGAGCCCACGCCCAGATGCTCCCGCCCCCAGGGTCCCCTAAGAACCTTCGCACAGGTGACCAAGAGACTCCCTGTGAGCCTCGCTCCAGGGCAAGAGTGGGCGCCCGTCCTCACGCAGGGTGGCCTCACTACAGGCCTTCACACTGATGGATCAGAACCGGGACGGCTTCATTGACAAGGAGGACCTGAAAGACACCTATGCCTCACTGGGTAGGTGCCCAGGCAGAGTGTGGTCAGAGCCCACCATTCTCAGCCTTAACGTTTGATCTGCCATCCTGCAGGCTGTGAGGAGGTGGGCCAGGCTGGGGAGAAAATCCCCTCTGGTGTGAAAGGGGCTGGCAAGGC